TTCAAATACAGCGTCTTGCGGTTAGCGGATTAGTATTCGCAGTGAGGATTGTAAAGTATTGGGACAGAACGTCTACGTCTACATCGATAGAGGCGGTAAACAAGAGGCGGAATTAAGGTTCGGATGTACGGATCACTTGCCAGTACAGATCGCAGACTGAATGACACCGCGATTCTGCCGATTTTTCCCATTAACATTGAGTTTGGGTCGATGTCAAACTTCTCGATTAAACCTTGAAGCATATTGTTGACTTGAAAGTAAGATTTGCAGCTGCTGTCACTCTCACAAAGCGCTAAGAAAGCATCGCGGACTTCGCCATAGGTAATGCCAGATATCGACACGTAGGCGAACTCCTTATCAGATGTCCCAGCGGTTGCACCGACACTATCGACTCGATAGTATCGAGTACATATCCAATCCCGTTTGGAGGATCTAGCTGCATGCGCCTTTACACCAAAATTGTATCGTATTAATAGCTGGCACCATGTTGGGTTTCGGTTGGTCGGAGAATGCGATCAGGACGAAACCTTCTTTTCCCTATCCTGTAGTTATAGATAGAAGCACGGTAGAGGACGATCTCCACTCGTTCATTCTTCGATCTTACTCGCCAACGCTAACAGCCTCAAGGTCCAAACCCCCACGTTACGTTCCTTTCGGACACTTCTTCTCCCTTATTATCCCTACGATGAGTGCAACCGGAGGATTCTATTACCTTTGTCCAGGCACTTTCGATGTTGTGGGGTACAGTTACGGCAAGCTTGAGGGAGCGGCAGCGCGCCGAGGAAAGGTAAAGATCACCCTTGTGCTAAGCGGGCGATGGTCAAAGGAGAAGGTGCAAACTATCGAGGTGACGCTCTCAGACATCACCGAACGAGAGGTGAGTGAGGAGGAAGCTCTTCAGGGACCGGGCACGTTTGTAGGAAGCGCAATATGTACAACCCGAGTACCGCCAAGAGGCGTAAGAGTCTGGGCTTACGGGCTCGTGATCGGTTACCAATGGTCTACTCAACGCGAGGAGGGGACCGTCGATATTAACTTCGGGGACACGACTGAATCCGTTCCTTACCAAGTTGACAACCTCCAGGACCTGTCGGTTGAGATTTACGCACTTAGACCGTGTGCTTTGTGCGGTACCAGCGCAATCATGCCCGAGAGAACTGAAACAAATCCATGAGAAAGTGTACAAGAAGTTCAACGGGATGGATCAAGTCGCAGTGCGGAGCGTCCACGATCTGATTGTTGACCCCCGTGTGAAACCCGTCGACGAGACTGCCGTCCTGCCAATCTTCAATGTGATTAACTCTGAAATTTGCCATGTAAGTGTTAAACACATCTTAGATCATGTTTTCTACAAAGATGGCAATCGCACGCCACCACCGGGGCTAGTACTTCAAGACTCAATATTTACGGAATCAACTCCCAATGTTGACGCTGTAAATTCGACGGCCCAGTTGGAGGCAAGTGACGGTCTGAGCGATTCGGACGACGACGAGGAGCAGCCATCATCCATTCCGACAACGAAGCGCCGCAGAGATGCTACCGAAGAGCCACCACGGAAACGACGACGCACTGGAGGTAGCCCGCGCGCGACAGAACCCGATGATCGACTGCGTGAGCTTCGACTCCGCTGCGAAGGCGACCAAGCATTACAAGCGGACATTGATCAGCTCATTTCGCTACGCCGCGTAGGCGCTGCAGCGGAGCGCACAGGTTTGATAACCATGACGCCACGACAGACGGCTGAGGATAAAAGCCAGTTTCAGCCCACAGGGGTCCAAAGCAGAATTCATCAAACGCTCGTGCACGGTAAGTTTACTTACATGACCCCGCAACAATTCATTGAGCATGTACAGATTCACTGGAGTCGGTACGGTTTCTTTCCACACCCTGCTGTACTGCGTGGCCTCTTCAGTTGGGACTTCGGAACGCGAGGGCTGTCAATCATGCATTTCGTACGCGTGACTGAGAAGGCGAAACGAGATGCTGTTCGACGTTACGATATGAGCAATTTTTCTCGCAAAAAACTCGCTGCCAACCCCTTCTTCAGTGTCAGAATTCTCGGCGGTAGTTGGAGCTGTCGAAGTGCTCGTCAATGTGGCTAATCAACTCTACCAACCCGTGGTGCAAGATCTCTTCACTCATGTCTTAAGGCTTTTGGTGGAACTACGCGTACGCGAAATGCCGAATACGAGCAGAGCCTTAACAGAATTAGTCGGGTGGATGGATGATCGATTGGAGTTATTCCGAGTTCACGTCGCAGACAGCGAAATTCAGCAGGCCGCCGACGTAAAACTGCAATTCAGTTCTTCACACGAGGCCTTCTTGCGCGTGAGCCAGCTGATTCTTCGTCAAGACGTCGAAGAAGCTCTTGCTGAAGCCAAGACGGTGGTGTCAAGAAGCAAGGCTTCCGGTCAGCTCGTCAGCTGCCAGTACGACGGGAAGCCATGGAAACGTCCGGCTAGGGGACCAATTCGTCTGAGGATCTCAAGGCACTGC